GCATGGATGTGCTTTCTATAGGTGCTGCATTTCCTGAGGGAATTAATTTAATAGGTTATAGTCAAGGAGGTTTATTAGCTAGAGCCATATTGCAAAGATTTCCTATGCATAATGTTAGAAATTTTATTTCCCTAAGTTCACCGCAAGCGGGACAATATGGAAGTATGTACATTATGATATCCAAATAGAAAATAAAACAAAGCTTTTGTTCTAATCATAAAATCCTGATTTCAGCACGTTTTCTGCGTTTGATTTTCCCAGATTTAGCTTGTGAGACTGCTTATGAACTCTTTTATTCACGACTTGGACAATACACCAGTGTTGGAAATTATTGGAATGATCCTCATCATCAAGTTACTAATTTTAATCTATTTTATGTATCAAGTATATTATTGTATATTCTAATATACATTAATTTTTTTTCAGGAATTTTATTATAAGTACAACAAGTTTCTGCCATATGTGAACAATGAAATCAACGGTTTTAACAATTCTAACTATAAAATAGGTTTAACTAAGCTGAAACGTATGATACTTATTGGAGGACCGAACGATGGCGTTATCACTCCATGGGAAAGCAGTCATTTTGGATATTATGACAATAACAACACAGTGGTAGACATACGTGATAGAGATATTTATAAATTTGACACAATTGGTTTAAAAATGTTAGATAAACAAGGCAAGTTAAAGATCATCGCAGTGCCCGGTATTTCTCATACTGAATGGCATACAAATATTTCTATAGTAGATCAATTTTTGTTACCATACTTAGATTAAATAAAACAAAATTTAAATAAAATAAGATTGAAAACTTGCCAAATATATAACAAAATATATTGTATAACAAATTATTATTGCCATGTCTAACAAATTTAAATTAGAACAAATTTAAATTACTTTTATATTTTATCTCTAGCATTTTATATTTGAATAGATTAATTTATGACATGTACTCATAATGGGAAGTATAAAAGGTATGCTCGTTTTTTATACGAATCTCATAGTGTTCTGCGCATAACCAAACGCGGCCATTTTAAACATTTACATCGCAGTAAGTTTGAAGTGACGTATTGCGGATATGAGTACGTGTCAAGTAAAAACGTATACAAATAATTTCCGAAAAAAAAGGATGCAAAAATTTACATTTTTTTCGATTTCCAAAGGAAAGAACTCAACATAATATTATAATGACAAAATAACATAGTGCCAACTTCAAATAACTGCGGCAACATGGCGGCTTCTGGATATCGCTCTTTTTATGTTCAAAATGCGCAAGAGCACACCTTTTATATTTCCACCATGCATGTACTTCTATGGATGCATACGTTTTTGTGCTCTATATATATATATATATATATACATATAAAACATACATTACACGGTCAATAGTCATATGCATAATTTTCATACGACGCTGTATGTTTATGAAATGTATGTAAGTATACATATTCAAAGTGTTTTAGTAAATGACTAATGGCTAATGGCTAATTATAAATTAATAATGAAAATCCAT